AAATGTTTCCTTTGTAAGAGTTGCTGTGGTCACACTGTCTCATCACAGCAATAAAACCCCAACTAAAACAATCACTGAGGCAGACTTTTAATGGGATTCTTTTCTAGACCCTCTCCCTGCTACTATACCAAGAAATCTAGAAAAAGTTCCTGTCCTGCATGCCATTTCCTCTCACCAGGCACAGGAGTAGCACTATTCCCAAGGTATACTATGTGCTCAGGCATCTCTCCACTAACACATCTCTTCTTGTCTCTCCAGTCAGTCATACCCCTTACTACTGCTTCTTCTTTCCTTAAATTGTTCTTCTCCCTTTCTTAAATATCACATTTCCATTAATTTCAATATCATATTTCCTTTAATTTTCCTTTCTATGTTATCAAAGCCAAGAAAGGTCAATGACTGAAGTGTAGAGCAAAAGACAGCCTTAGAATGCACGCTAAAGAAAAACTCATACAAAACACACCAGGTAGATGCAGAGACCTATAGTAAATGATGAATTGCTAGCATTTCAAACCACTTTTAAACAGTACTGCCGAGAGTTTAGTGGGTGTAGCCCTATGGTGGAGAGCTTAGCTAGCAATTATGCAACCTGGGTCTAATCCCTAACACTGCAAATATCAGAACTGTTATCTATAAAGCAACAATCGTAATTATCATATGCTGTGATGTTTATCATAAGAAAGAAAAAAATCCTTGGAAAATGGCAGCACAGAAATGGTGACAAGAGGAAAAGTCTGCTGCTGGATGTGATGTTACAGCTGAAAGCAGACTGAGTGGAAACAGACACTGCAGAGTCTAGACACACCCTCCAACAAAAAAACAACTGAGATAGCTAGTAAGATTATGGCAGAGGTAAAATGGAACCAGAAATACCAAAGAAATCACAAGAGAGGTAGGCAAAAAGAAAGGCAAAAAAGACAAGCTAAAATCAGCCAGACAACTCTATCAATAAATGAATTAAATGAAGATAGCTATATATTACATTTCATTAAGTCATACGTTATGCAGTAAGAAAAAAAACAATAAACTACATGCCAAAACTTAATCTTATTTATAATTTAAATAGATAAAAGTAAAATGATGAGAAAAAACATACTACACACACACATACAACCTTATATTTAGTAGGAGAAAAAACAGTAACTAGTCCCATGGGTTAATTCATCAAGATATACCACTTCCAAATTTAAACATATATACAGTTGACAGTGCAAATTCAGAACACAGAAAGTGGGCTAGGAGTGCAGCTCTGTGGCAGAGCACTGGCCTCGCACATGGAAGGATCTGGGTTTGAGTAGATCACTGAAAAAAAAATTATCAAATAAACAAAACCAAAAAAGATACACAAAATTAAAAAGATGTTTACAATTGTGGCTGAAGATTTCAACAACTGCTTGTCAGTAACTGATAGTACCAGTACATGGAAGAATGCTGCCGACATGAACTGCACCATCTGCCATCTTAACAGAACATGTGTCCCATACCCACAGGAGCATCTTGGGAAAGCATGCTACAGAGTAAAAGGCAAATCTGTGTTTCTTCTTCTCCTCCCTACTTTATCCCTGGTAGTTTAAAGTTATAAAAAATGTCACAAAAAAGTCAAACAACAAAATTATCCAGATTCAATGATAACTCAATGAACTTCTATAATTACAGCAGCCATTTGGTTCTCCTCATCCCCAATACTTAGTTGTTCCTTTTAATCTTTCCAATATGCCATATAGATAAAATATTTAAAATATTTTCTAAAGGAAAATGTAGTTCAAAATGAAAACACAGGTCTTTTAAAGTCTCAAGAGCATCAGCTCTCAGCCTTCCTACTCTGCGACCCTTATACAGTTCCTTGCGTTGTGCTGACCTGACCCCCCCGCCATAAAATCATTTTGTTCTTATTTCAAAACTATAATTTTGCTACTGCTATGAATTGTAATGTAAATATCTGTTTTCCAATAGCCTTAGGCGATCCCTGTGAAAGGGTCATTTGACCCCCAAAGGGGTCATGATCCACAGGTTAAGAAATGTTGGCTTAGGAAAAAAAAAAAGTCTCAACAATAATCATGGTTCTAACCTACAAAACTAGCAAAATAAACGCAAATGTGGCAGAATGATGAAATAATCAAATGGGCTAAGTGAGACTGCACAGTGGCAGCACACTTCCCTAGCACATGACATGTAAGACCTTGGTTAAGTTCAAGTCCCAGCATGCACGTGCTCGCTCATGCAAGCACACACACACACACACACACACACACACACACACACACACAGATAAAATCCCAAACAAACAAGCAAACCCACAATAGAGAAAAATTAATGAAATCCAAATTAATTTGATTCTTTTCAAATCTGAGGCTGGGTTTGAAAGAGAGCTCCATGTAATTGTTGCTCTTCTTGTACAGGACTGGAGTTTGGGCCCCGGGCTCCAGAACACTCATGGCAGCTCACAATTATCTGTAATACTATGAACTCCATGGAAACTACACACTCACGGACATGACACTATACAAACACAGAGTGAGTACTTACATGTGTAGGCAAAACACTCATACACACATAAAATAATTCTAAAAATATTAAAATAAATAAATGAAATAAAATCCGAGGCTGGACTAGTTAGTAGTGCATACCTGTAACTCAAAGTACCAATGGAGAGAGGACGTTGAGTTTGAGGGCAAGACAGGTTACACAGGAAGACCCAGCAGGAAAGATCATGGTGACGAGTTACACCAGCAAACAACCTGCCAGAAAAATCTTCCACCTTAAGGGTGCTAAAACAATCATATTCTCCTAAGGCTCAAATGGCTGTCCCTCTCTGCAAAGGGGGTAGAGGACAAGATGCACTGGAGAACAAAGGCTCAGCTCTTCCGCCTTCTCCTGAAGGTTCCATGCTACTGTAGCTAGTTCACTTCAGACAATGATTGAGACATAGTTTTAAGGTACTAAATATGTCAGCTCTACTGTGTCACAAATATTTAGAAAGGGGCAAAAAAGGGCAGGTTTTGTGAATTCAAGGTCAGCCTGGTTACCACCATCAGTTCTATAGTACACAGAGACACACAGTGAGACTGTCTCAAAAAACATTTTAATTAGAAAACTAGGCATTAATTATGGACTAATACATAAAATAATAAACACAAAGTTTATTAGTAAGTAATAGTGCCCAACTTTAAAGATGAAATACCTAATCATACGTAAGTTACATATTTGAATTTTTATAACACTTATTTATCTGACTGTATGTAGAAGGGTCTGCATGTGGCACAGCTCACATGTGGAAGTCAGAAGACACCTGGTAGGAGTAGGTTTCTCTTTCTACCATGTGTGTCATGGGGACTCGCAATAAAACTACCACAGCCTCAGTTGTGCTGTGGCTTCTCCAACCTGGCTTCATTTCATTCCTCGTGGCCATATCAGGTGATCTTGACCCAGTAAGTAAGCACAGGTGCTTATGCCTGACCATGCATTATTTCCAGTTCTTTTGTAGTACAGAGACATGATAACGAGAGCATAGCTCACAGACTTTCTTAGGTATACCTCTACCTCGTAAGGATCATTATCTATCTTGTAATGTGGATGCAATTGCCTGCATCAAGTCAATAAACATTCACAGCTTTCAGAATGCTGATGAGTTTCATAGAGTTTGTGAAAGACCTAGAACATACATGTGCTTTCACATGTTAGAAACTCAAAATATGTAAGTTTGGTTAAAGTGAAGATTTAAGTAAATATTTAAATGGACAATTACCTTAAATGCTTAGATACAGAAAGAGAAAAAAAACACCAAATTTCCCATTGCCAACAATCTAACATAAAAGTGAAAAATCAATCATTTCCCCTATGATTTGTACTGGTATCCTTTTATGGGACTCAAAGAGGAAAGAATTTGGCACAAAACAAATATTTCAGATAAAAAAATAAAGAAATCCAGAAATGGTTAGATTAGATAAATTAATTAGATAAAACATCAAGTAAAGTAAATTACTGAGCATCAAAATTTCACACTAAAATTTTATATAAAGAGCTGGAGTCGTATAGTAACTAGCACACAAACATGAGAACATGAGTTCAGCGTTCCAGCACCCGCGAAAAGCTAGGCATGGTAGCACACAGTGATACCCCACGGCTGAGGGACATAGACGAGCAGATCCTTATTGCTCACTGGCCAGCCAGGCCAGCCTCATCAGTAAGCTCCGAGGCTCAGTGTAAGAGAATGCAGAATAATATGACTTAAACCCACTGCCACATACACACATATAAAAAAATTATGGAAGCATTTAAAAATCAAAATCAGTATCTGTATTAACAATATCTGAAGGCAAAGTGAAGTACTAAAACTGGCAGAGATATGCATGTGCTGTACATCTGGAACCCAGCACTGTGAAGGCCAGACAAGAGAACCACAGTGACTGACGGCAGGCCCAGAATGCACAGCAAGCTGCACAGCAGCCTGAGCCAAGTGTGACACAGTCTTAAGTAATGAACAAACACCAAAAGGAAACATGCGCTTTATAATTAAAATAAAGGTACATAATTGGCAGCAATCATTTCTGTGGGAAATAAAGTTATGTTGCAAGTAACAGAAAGGATACAAATAAGACCATACATCCTTACTTTGTTAAATACAAAAACTGTTTTACTGCAAATTGTTTTAAAAATAAAGAATCTGTATATTTAAATGAGAAATGTTCTAAATTAAGACATAAAGGCAATTTTTATAAATTATTATTTCTTTTTTGGCTTATCTAAATGAAAACCAAAATGTTAGGTGTCTTCTTTTTCAACTGGAAGAAATAAGGCTGAAGAAATTATTATTAAAAAAAGACAAAATAAACTCTTGACAATTGGGAGGAGTTTCAAGAGGCACAAAATTACAAATAAAAAATTATGCTAAGAAGTTTGGTTATTGTTTAAACACCAAAGTAAAATAGGAAATATCACTGCATTATTAAATTCTATTCCCATAAATTTCTGCTGTGTAGAGTATCACAAAGACATCTTACCTTTTTGTCGTACACATCTTGCCAGTTTACTCCAGAAAAGAAACTATGCCTCATAATTTCTTTTGCATCATCTGGCCCTCCACCAAGGCTGTGAGTATAGAAATAAAATTTAAAAAATGGAAAACATTTACATAAGTCACACAAATAAAACCTTTTGTGTAGATAAAATTTACCTTGTTCGAAATAATTTTAAATGCATAGCCATAAAAATAAAAATTAAATAACTTTAATAACTAAAATTTTCAAACATATTACTAAATAAGAACCATCCTTAGACCAAGGTAAAAGATAAAGGCTTTGGAGAGCACTCTACAGAGGCAAGCACTTCTTAGAGAGGGGGTAATGAACAAGTGACCAACTCCCACGTAGAGATAATGCAGCCCCTCTGGGGGTTACAAGACTCAGAAATACACAGGTATCACCAGGTATAATGGAAGATATAGCCACTGTTCCTTTTTTAGTAACTGAGTCCAAACTGTTCCTTTGTTAATGTAAATCCCAAAGTAAACAACTGGTTAGAGACACATCTGTGATCTTATGGAGTTAGTGGTGAAGTTAATCCCAAGACTGAAGTGGCTGGGGCAGACAGATCTGAGTTCAAGGTCAGCCTGGTCTATACAGTGAGTTCCAGAACAACCAGCGGTACAGAGAGAGACCAAGACCATGTATCAAAAAGAAAAACAATAAAACTATCTCTGGAGAGCACTGTTCCAAATAAAATCTCACGCTGCTGTCATGTCGCTAAAGAATTGCACAGAGACAATATTGGTTACCCATGAAACATCCTTACAAGTTAATCTGCTGTGCAATTCAGAACATAAAAATAAAAGTTAAAAATAGGAAAAAACAAGTATTTTGTATCTTTTAAGGTTTAATTTAGTACTTGTTCATTAAAAAGAAAATATGTATGAAAAATAAGACTGGAAAGGAGGGAGAAGAAAACAGAAAAAAGAAAAAAATGAGAGAAAAAGAAGGTAAAGGAACATACTGGAGTTTGGATCTAACATAGGAAACTCTCTTTCAAGTTAATCAAGCACAGATGCATGTGTGTATGAGTTCATTAGGATTTTTCCCTATTTTAAAGGACGTAAAGTGTAATAAATACAAAGAAAAAGAATAGAATGTTTCCATTATCAACCAGCCGCAAAATTATTCTCACAGAAAACATTTCATTTTTGCTCAATTACAAATTCAACTATAAATGAATTTATACTTCTACTTAATTCTGACTTGGTCCTGTCTGTTTATGGTAAAGCCAGAGAAGAAACTCAACCATGATCTGCTTCTGTCAGCGAGTGCGGAAAGATGAGAGACTCCACAGGAAGAGTGCTTCCTGCACTTCCTCTACCTCTCCCGGCATTTACAATGCCCCAGAAACCAAACGTTCTTCAACCAAATCTCGTCTATTAACCTTTCATTCATCACTTTATTAGGTCTAAAGAATAAAAGCAACAAATCAAACACTGACTTAAAGGACTTGTCAATTTAGGTAGTAGAAGAAATGCCATCCCCATAGCCAATTTCAAAATACCACAGTAGATCCAATCACTATATATTGTTTCCACACAAATACAACGTCAGAAACAAGAACATGGAACCAAATTATAAGAGTGATAAATTGTGACTTATTGTTTTGTTTGTACTATTCTTGATTTAATTTGTATCATTTGATTAAAACAATCAATGACTGTTGAATAAAAGGTACAGCTTACTACATCCCTGGAAATTTAACAACTAGTTCTGGTGATCTGTGCATGCCAACATTAACACATCACTAGCCAGGAAACAAATCAAACCAAACCAAACCAAACAAAACCCAAACAGCTAAGGAAAGTAGGGCAGACTAACTGTCCCTGAACTGTGGCTGTCAGGACTGTCACTGAAAGAAACCCGACACAACTAGTAGACCCAAGAACAGCTTTGGTGGGAAATGCAAGCAAGCCTGCTCTAGGATCCTCAGAGAAGTCTTTAATTAAAACACTCCAGAGAAAAACATTAGATTGTATAATAGGATAGCAAAATTCTTATCTGGAACCTTCAGTCTTATGATTTCGTATTTAAGATTAAAGCAACTGATTCCTGTTTTTCCAGGGGATGCAATCTCTCCCCTGGTATGCTGTCTCTCCCTGGGAGGCAGAGATCAGTATTGGGTTAACAAAGTCATCCTAAACTTGGCCTAAGGAACAAAAAAAGCAAAAACACCAAAATATTTATTTCTGAAAAGAATTTAATATTTCAAAGTATAAATCAAACCAGTTTGCATAAAAAATCAGAACTCTATTTTCTTATAGTTTACAGTTAGTTTATAGTTCACAATATTGTTTTATGTGTACTTGAGAAGGCACATGAATTAGTGAAGCAGTCATTCTATAAGTTAAAAAATTTCAATCTGGATTTAGTTGTTCATTTTTGTATAAAACCCCAGTTCTTTTGCAATAATTGTTTTAGGAAATAGCTAGCATGTTTATCAACATACATAAGATAGTGCCAGTGAGTGCTATGCAATTCCGAAATTATAGTTATAGATTTCATTTTAGAAGCTCAAATCCATTAGCACAAAATTCTTCGAAATATGAAGATGTCAAAAAATTTAATGTCAATGGCCCCCTAATATATAATTTAAATACTTCAAAATGATGTCAAAATATGAGTTGAACTGATGCTTTGGACTTTTTTATGCCTAAGCCCATAAACTTCAACATCGGAATACCAAATAAGCCGTTAGCTCCCATGTATTCCTTACTATGAGGAACATCACAGAACTCCTATTTTCCTATAGTAGTATACCCAACATGAGGTGGTGGTTTTCATGTAAGCTGTGCTGGAGGATAAAGGAAAGACATGCAGAAGGGTCACAGAGTAACAGAGAATAAGCTTCTGGTAGAAGTGTGGATGGGAAGGTTTCAGTTTTCTCTAAGGGGTTGGCCAATGGGAGTGTATGGGCAACACAAATTGGACCTGCAGTAGTTCTTTATTTTCTTCCTCTTCTTTTTCTTCCTCTTCCTCCTCTCCTTCCATTTCCTCTTTTTTGGGAGAGAGGTCACAAGGGTGGGCAGACTTGGGAGGACTGGGAAGTGAGTGTTATTGGGGTGCATGATGTGAAATTCCCAAATAATCAATAAAATATTATATTAAAAAAGCCCAAAGATGGTTAATCCTTTAGGAGAATTCACAGCAATTCAGCAAAGAATACAAAAAAAAAAAAAAAAAAATTAAGTAGCACCTAAAGTAGCTGAATGAAAAAAAGAAATCCCAGTATCTGATTATGTTCAAAGCCTTCTGGAGAATGTTGCTGGCTTTATTTTTCCTATAGCTAAACTGTTATTTCCCGGGTTTCTGCCCAGGCCCTCCTCTTTTCACACTCTCCTTTCTGTGCTACTTTTCAGTCTCCAGTTACCTCCCAGATGTCTACAGTTGGCTACTATGACTCTTTTAAGCATTGGCTGCATTTCTTCCAGATGATTACTTGACATTTCCTTCTAGGTTTGCCAACCTTAGACTTGCTATAAAGTTACTTTCAGCACACACTTCTACAAGCCTCTGTCTTTGCTTGTCCTCCCTAAATTAATCACCCTAACTGGGTACTTCTAGGATTATCCATACCATCTTCCTTACATTTTTATTTATTCACAGCTGTATTGTTTCTTTTTTAAAGTCTTTTAAAGAACCAGCTTTCTTAACTAGAAATATTTGCTTATTGTTTTTAAGACATAATCTTCTTAAAGTGTTCAGGCTGGCCTCAAACCCTAAATCCTCTTGCCTCAGCATCCTAAGCAATGTATCTGCCATACAAGTTTTGTAAAGTGTTCTGTCTTCCTGTCCTTTACTTTTCAAATCAGACGACTCCACAGCTGCCAGGGCTGCTCTCTTATCACACATATCTCATTATACCATCTCTCTTATCACACAGATCTCGTTATACCATCTCTTTCTTTAAAGCAATCTTCCTGTTTTTCATCCTTCCCTGAATAAAGATTTTCTAAGAAACATAAGACCCTTACAGTCTAATACACCTGTTTCATCTTTCTATGATGCTCAACTCATATTCTATAGTTTAGGCACTGAGCTTTTCAAATGCCATGTTCACGTGCAAGTTTGACTATATTTTACATGCAAATGATGCCTGAAGCCATCAAAATCTCTTAGGCTAAGCTAATGATCAAGAGCATTTGCACATAGTTTGGCCTAAAAATATGCAAATAGGTTTGTGCCCTTTGTTATTCTATAAATGTCTAGAAAGATGTGCTCAAGCTATCTATCTCCGCATCCTCAGTACTTTGATACAGTAGTACAGAGACTTGACACATTATATAAAAGAGCTTTATAAGCCTGAGAGAAGAAAATATGTATCAGGGCCCTAACATTCTTGAAATTTACCTAACATATATTCAAAAGTTTCTAAGTACCTACTATGTGCTATCTGTACGATGGGAATGAGCCAATAGTAGATAAATTAATAGACTTTGTTTTGCCAGAAACTTAGAGGCATACAGAACAAAGAGTGACCAAAGTTGTCTGGAAGAGTCAGAAAAAGATGGGATAAAAATTCACTACCCTTGAAACCAAGTCAAATATTAGATTCTCCCCCACTCAAAAAGATGAAATGGTAGGTACAGCTCTGCTTAAAAACAACTTTCCAGTAAACTCTGCTCATTGTATAACAGGAATAATCACCTTACCTGCAATACATCTCAAAAACTACACTGAGAAGTTGGTACTGCAGACAGGATGAGAAGTACGATGCACACATCAGAAAATTTGGTTTTCTATTCCGGCTCCACATGAATTTTCAGTGAGACCACAGACACATCACTTACCTTCTGCACATGAAATGTTTATAGTATCTACTCAATCTACTTGGAAGGCCCCCTCAAAAAGCAAACTAAATCAACAGAAAAGCACCGACTCAGGGGGCTCACCTGTATTCCTGAACACAGGGTCTGCTCTAGTGTACTGTCTAGGTGAGGCGCACACTTGTGTTGAGGGATGGGGCCATCTTTTCCTAGTGCAGAGGTCAGCTCTCCTCTAAGGGGCAGAGTCAGCTCTCCTGCAGTACTCAGCAAGGGGCTTGCTCAACATGGCATGGTTCCCTTAATCCCTGTGCTAACAAGGGCCCCAAGACATAGATCTTGGCAGCAGCTCAGACCCAGAGTCTCCATGTCCCAGATGCAGCACATGTCACCCAGATCAGTATGGCCCCTGCAGTAACATGGCCCATGGACACCATCATTACTACCTAAGCAGATGAGAGAGCTGGCCAGGGTCTCAAGAGTGAGACAACTATCCCCACTCATCACTAGCTGCATCACACTGTAGAGCAGACCCTGCACCCGCCAGGGCAACATACTAATGCTGACCCTGCTGACATCAACACAGGAGAGCCAGCCCTGAATGCATGAGAGCAGGACAGCTGAGTACCCCACTCCCGAGCCCAATATGCTCCCCATAGCAATCAGGAGAGGGTCCTGTACCTTGCCTGGCAAAATAGTAGAGTTGGCCCTGGTGGTATGAGTTTGGGTGACCTGAGAGCAGGAGAACTGGCCCTGCTCCTTGCTGCAGGCCGCACTAGGTAAGCTGGTCTAGGCAGTGGTGGAGAGGAAAAAGCTGGAGAGCTGACCAATTCAACTACCACCCAGGCACAGACAGGGCTATGAGTTGTCCCACCTCAACACCCACTGAATCTATGAACTAAGGAAGCATGTGAAGGAAGGACCTACAAATCCATGACACAGGACAACAACAGGATATCCAAGAGGAATCTCCAATGAGAGCCCATTATCAGTGGTGTAGCAGAAGCCATAGACCTTTAGTCAAGTCAATGACTTACAGCAATGAGCACTGGCAAGTAAAGAGGAACAGACTAAAGGGTAAATTGTGTGACTCAACGGGCCACACTACAGCTTCCACAACAAGATTCCTTCCCTCCCTCCCTCCTCTCATTTTGTTTGTTATTGTTCCTTTGATTTGTTTTTTCTTTTAAATTTGGTTTGTTTTGGGAGGAGGTTGCAAGGCAGAGAGTGAATGAAAGGGGACAGAGATAAGTGGGATCAGAATGCATGATGGGAAATATACAAAGAATCAAGAGAAATTAAAAGAAATAAAAAAGAGATGGTAAACTCTTTATTATATATGGTTATTTCTGCTGAAAGCAGTATGACATTCTTAAAAATGTATATACATATACACATACACACACACACACACACACATATCTTTTGCATGTTTGGTGCACCTCAGGAGATCAGAAGAAAGTGTTGGAGCCCTTGGACTGGAGTTACGGATAGTTGTAAACCATTAGGTAGGTGCTGAGAACAGAACCTAGATCCTCTGCAAGAGCAGCCAGTCATTTAACCACTTATACCACCTCTTCAGCCCCACATTCTTATACACTTAAAAATGAGATACCTACAGCATCTCTGCTAAAGGAAACACCTCTGCTAAAGGAAACAAAGATCAAGTTCTAAAAATTCACATACTTCTTTCAAACATTAGAGATTCTCTCAAATACATGCTAAGAATGAATAAAAAAAAAAAACACTGGTAAAACATTAAGTGAGATATTCTGGGCAACCAAAAAGATGAAGTTGTCTATTCTCTAGATGCTTAGAGTTTAATGAGCTTTCGAGGAAGTTCTGATACTTATGGGGAGAAGACAGACTCTGCCTACCTCCTTGCTTGCCTGCCTCCTCTTCTCCCTCCTTCTCTCCCTCCCTCCCTCCCTCCTTCGCTCCCTCCCTCCCTCTGTCTCTCTCCCTTCCTCCCTCCCTCCCTCCTACTCTCCTCTCTCTCCCTCCCTCTCTCTCTCTCTCCCTCCCTCTCTCTCTCTCTCTCTCTCTCTCACACACACACCCATTTACACACACACATACACACACATACACACACACACATTATGGGAAGGTGGAGAAGATAAACACCACCTCAAGTTATGGGTTATTTTATAAACAAATCATTCCACATATAACTAGTGAGTATATTGTAAGCTAATACATAAATGTACAAAATACAACAACTGAGCAGTAAAGACTATAAGAGAGCTTAGATCGTAACCAAAACATATCTGTAAAAACAAAATTACAGTGTCTCGCCTTATAACCAATTTTTCAGCCATACCTGAAAAAAAAATAACAAAAAAGAGAAATGTTGCCGGGCACTGGTGGTGCGCGTCTTTAATCCCAGCATCTGGGAGGCAGAGACAGGCAGATCTCTGTGAGTTCGAGGCCATACTGGTCTACAGAGTGAGTACAGTACAGGCTCCAAAGCTTCAGAGAAATCTTCAACCAATCAAACAAACAAACAAAAATAGAAATGTTAGCCTGGATTAGTAGCAGAAAGAGTACAAACAAGCCTTTTTTCCTATGATGTGAATCAGGAGAAACATAAAAAAGCCCTAGGTACTGGAAAAAAAAAAGAAACCCTTCCATTCCTAGGGTAATTAAGACATTTTTTACTCATAATATACATAAAGATTTCTCAAAAGTCCTTATTTGAAAAGTTTGTATAATATTTTCAAATTAAGAAATAGTTTATGTGTTTTTAAACTGTTCTATATTATGGGCTTAAATAAGTCAGTATCTCAGTGGGAAAATGTCTATACCGAACACAATGGTTCCTGGAATCATATATATTTCAATTTATTTTCAAATCATGAACTCTAACCAAATTTATCAGCAATTTATAGACTGATATCAAGGCTTACCGTTTATTTGGATCCTTTATCAAGAGCCCTGAAAGCAATGATTTTGCATCTGAAGAGAGTGTTCGGGGAAATTTAATGTCTTCCATTAGTATTAGTTCAAAGAGTTTCTCATGATCCTGGTTGTAGAAAGGCAACCTCCCACACATCATTTCATACATGACAACACCCAGGCCCCACCAGTCTACTGCTCGGCCATAGTCATTATCTTCTAATACCTAGAAGTGAAACCAGCAAAATTATCATTATTGTTGTTCATCATCATCATCATCATCATCATCATCATCATCCACTCTCACTATATGGCCTAGGCTGGCCTGGAACTTCCTTCCTATGGAGGCTACACTGGCCTCAAATTCATAGAGATCTGTTTGTCTGCCTCTGGAGTGCCATGCCTAGTCCATGTACATTAACGGTTAAAGTATCATTCAAACGAAGTAAATTTTATATGAAAACAAAAAAACCCTTCAATTACTTATATAAAACAGTTAACATAAATTCAGAAACAATGTACAAAAAGCAAAAGTCATAAAGATTTTCTAAAATGAATTTGAAGTATATCCAAATCTACATAACGAAATGAAAACCATCAGCTAGTATGTTTGCTTATTTTCTTTTAGGTCTACTGCATTTCACACTCTGAGTCCTTCTAACAACTTAAAAAAATTAGGCCATGCTGGTGACAGATCACATATTGTGCACTGTACATTTTACTTTAAGAAGTAAGTTTAAAACAAGAAAGAAAACGGGGTGGAAAACTGGCTCTGTGGCTAAGAATGCTTAGAAGAGGTGGGTTCCAGTACCAGAATCCACCTGTTGACTCACAAAAATCTGTACCTCCAGTTTAAAGGGGTTAGACATCCTCCTCTTTGAGCATCTGGTGGCCATGATGCTGTGTGTGTGTGTGTGTGTGTGTGCGCGCGCACACACACATACACACAGTCAGACAGACATGCAAAACATTTATACGCACAAAATCTAAAAAAAAAATTTAAAGACAATAATACAAATCAAACAGTGAAAGATGAAAACACCAAACAATTTAAAGGATGATAGTATAGATTGTGGCTGTAAAACAATAAATATGACAACTTATGGGATCCCTTATATGTTTAAAGTCTTTCAGTAAATAGTGGAGGAAACGAATACCCGTAGTCACTGCTCTGACATATGATCTTTTTATATCTGAAGCCTCAGAAACAACAAACTTTAGCCAGGTGTGGTGGCACAGCACTCAAGAGGCAGAGACAGTGGATCTCTGGCATACAAAGTAAATTCTAAAACAGCCAGGACTACAAAGTGAAACTCTGTCTCAAAGAGAAAGAGAGAGAGATAGAAAGAGAGAGACAGAGAGAAGCTACGGAATCTTTGTGGTATATGTCCGTGTGTGTGTGTGTGTGTGTGTGTGTGTGTGTGTGTGTGTGTGTATGATGCAAAAACAATTTAGTTATGGCACAAAGATATCACTTGGCTACATTAAAACACTCTCTTCAAATCCAAACACGGCCACTTACTTGCGCGCTGACCCCAGCATGGAACTGCAACAGGAGAGCCCAAGGCCTTGTGCAAGGTAGGTAGGCCATGTGTTCTACCACTAAGTTATACCCTAACCGCAAATGTGACTCTTGTTCAATAGAATATTCCTCACGTAGAGACAACGTCCAGTACTTTATTTAGATAACTACATTTGAATTAATATTAAACTTCAGTTTATCTGATCCTTTCAAGCTTTGAGAAAACCTGATCTAGAATATGAATTACATCAACTAGAAAATTCTTATTTTGAATTAATCAAATGCTTTATTGAATTTTATGTATTTCTGATAGTTACATTAGAGTTAACTACTACAAAGGGCATTTGAGAAGAATGATTTAAAGGTGAAGGGCAGAATGTAAAACTTCAACCATATAGTTGTTTTATTGTCAAAGAAATCAAGAAAATCATCTGTAACTTAAGATCAAAAGCCTGGTTACTGTAACCAAAGAAAATATTTTCTGAAAGAGAAACTTTAGTTTTTTAATAGACAAAACATTCAAACTCAATGTATCTGAGTAAGTAATATGGGAACAAACAGAATACAAAGAATAGCCTCAGGAAGCATATGGAATTTTTTATTTCTTAAAATATATTATGGACCTTTTAAAGTAACAGTGACTATACTATCTCAAAGTTCACAGTGGAGTGCATAGTTTTCTAGACCTTTATCTTTATCTAACTGAGACAGAAATTTACCAAATAACAAAAGGAAACAAAAACCTAACTAATCTCTAACTGGATTCCTACAACACCAACAAAACAGTGGCATACATGAAAAGGAGCCAAATGTGGTTTTTAACCTCTTTTTTCATAAAACCATAAAAAGCATAAAGCTGGATTAACTGCCTTCTGAACCCACATTTCACCAGCCGGGTTCTCATCCCCAGCTGGCAAAACTGGCAATCCTTTATTTCTGTTTAAATACCTGGTTTTCAGCCAGAAGGGCAGGAGTACATAAAAAGAGGGTTTCATTTGGAAGAGAATAGCAACTGAAAACGAAAACTACATTGTAAGAAAGAACTGTTACATAAAATGTAATACATTTTTATTTACTTTTTAAAATAAACACATTCTTAATATACGTGGTTTTGCATCTGACACATGGACCTTTACTGACATACAGATACATGATAACGTAATTGGAACTGTTTGCTGGATCTCTTTGTGGTCAACAATCCTGATATAATGAATTGTATTACTGACATGCAGACTTTAGCATTGCTGGGAACACACTCTAACAACTCAGCCACACTCTTAAGAACCTTTGCTATGAACAACAAAGAAATATTTTATGTAAGTTGTGAGGTGAAATGTTCAAGAAATCAAGATAAAAATGACTGTTACATGCTACACAGACACAATGTGAAACATACTCAACTATTCATATTATACATTTTCTCTCAAATTTCCAAATGAAATTAATTATTCCAAACATAAGTATTTTATATTATTTTTGGGAAAAAGTTTTTCTTCCTTCTTCAAACTCCTTTTTCTAAAATTCTAGTAGTGCACTTTTTAAGGTAATTGTTAAAAATCTCTCTGTTCACTTCAAATGATGGCTTTTCTGCAGCAAACCAGCTCATCAATTTCATGGTCACTGTGAGACTGCTAAGGGTATGAAAGACAGTGGTGTAAAAGCACAGTAAGAGGGAAGTATACTTCAGCCCCATTCAACCTACTCTATCACCTTATTAGGCTATAATTGTAGATCAGAGCATATTCTGATAAGACGTCGGTTAAAAAAAATGATCTTGGTGAAATGACCTAAGTAAGCCTCACCTTAAAATGACACAGATTTTTACCTCAGCAAGGGTGCAGACATTTAGTGCTGCCTTCCATCCTAATGCCCTTTGTAATTTTAGATGTAGCCTGTCCACTCAAAACAATTTCCACAAAAACAAGGGACAAAAGAAAATGTACTAAAAGAAAAAGTATATGCCATTAAGTGAGGAGAGACCACGTAAAATCAAAAGTCAAACAGCACAAACTCCAAGAAACAGGCTGGGTTTCAATTTTCCTACCAGAACCCAGAAATTGCTTTACTCTCAGATATAATAAAACCTAATATTCAAGCATATTAAAGCAGGCATCAGTTAACACCAAACATTTGTTAACAGCTGATGAAAATACTTACACTTACATTTTAAAAATGGTAGGTAAATGAAAAACAATTTTAAATTGACAAACTCTTAAACAGTAATTTAAAGATATTTAAAAATTACGTATTTCAAAGTGACATTATCAAGTAAATGCTTCCAACATTAACATAATAGACATTTTCAAAAACATTTTATTTCCAGTATTATTTTACCAAATAAGATTTACTGTAAGTAAAGGGACACCTTTCTCAGTTTGCTAGTCAGGCCCAACAATGCACCCAAGGCTACCAATTATAAGGAGACGATGTATGCCCTGGAGTGGCTTGCTGCTCAATCAATAATCCTGACAGAACAGATGGGAGAAAAATCAAACATCTAAACAAACTGTCTACACACCTATGTTGTGAAAGTAAACTGTGAACTTGGATCAACCAATTTACCACTTTTTCAAATTTTTTTTTGGTAACCCCACATTTCAGGTAACTGACATATATGTTATATAAAAACATCAATATATATACTTCATCACTTCTAAAGGTTATTTCTCTATTCCTCACATCATCTGATATTTTATCAAGTTGGCACTTGATAAAAAAATGACAAAAGTTTTCTTATTCAGCTTTTAAGAGTACAGTTTCAAGAAGTAATAATAATAATTTATAATTCATAAAATTCTGAGTTTTATGGTTTGTCAATATTTTTCATATTACTATTTTAAATAACATTTTCTATTTAATGCCAACTGCTCTAACTCTTAATGTGGCATCCATAAATGTCATTCTATTGCTCTAAGTTTTATGTTACCTCCTAGCAGTCTACAAATGTCTAAAGGCAACTAACATCACAATTTCAAAAGCAAACCAAAGTCAGATTAGGAAAATCCCTCAAGACAAAAGTCAGGTGTATAAATATCAGGAACTAAATCATACATACATATATCTTCTTATAGTTCTCTACTGCTTTTTTAATGGCAAAGCAACAAACATTAATGAATTCTAAGAAACTGTGTCATTGTAAGTCAAGTAAAAATAGGCATCATTAGTGTTCCTTAAGTAACTAACTTAAGGTTACTGTTTTGTATATCCTTGGGAGTCAGAAAATTTACAATTAAACCTTGGACTGCATCTAAAATCATACCAAATTTTTTGATTCAGTAAATTAAAAAGAAGCTTATGTGGGATTTAGCTAAAAAAACAAACAAAAACCCTCCCACATTAGTAAAAAATACTAGCTGTAAAAGTTAAGGGGCATTTATTCTATTTGACTTCACGTTTAAACATATCCAGTTATGTGACTTTGGGATGACGGTTAACGTCACCCATAATAGGACCATAGTAAAGACATAAATTTAATCAAGTAACAAGCCAACTCATCTGATAGAGATTCTTAAATATAAATTCTAACTATCAAGCAGACAACAACCGGAACTAATTACTATGCTCCTGATGGGACTTAAAAGTATTTAACGTCCTGGTAATACTAGTGATGACATCTTTCCAGACTGTCAGAAAAAGGAAGTTTTAAAATAACACTTTTTCACAAGGCTCTGTAGTATAAAATAATTTCATAACTTTTCGGGATATAGCAAAAACCTGTTCAAGGACTACACTGAACGTAACTGTGCACACTACTATTTCTGCCTGCAGACTAAAGATGCAAACACATGTAACTGGCCGCACTCATCTCTCACCCAGAGTTCCCAAAGATGATACTGGCAGAGTCTCCCAGACGTTCTGTCCCTTCACCTACACTGCCTCACACTCATCTTTTCCTACTTACTTCTTAGGAAGTTAATGTATACTTCTGATTTAAAAATTTAATGTAGTTAATTTTCATTTGTACTATGATTTATTATAATAAAACAGATTTCTTTACCAAAAGTTACCAATTTTCAGAAGCATTTCATATCTTCTCAATACTTCATATCAGATATTAGACATCAAAAGAAAAATATACAGAATTCTAATAACCAAATGTTTTAGAAATGGGCTCTGAGAACTAAAAAGGGTGAATTTAAAAGTACATTTTAGTCAGTAGGGGGAATGCACTTTATACACTTAGAAAAATAAAATTTCCTATTTCAATTTTCAAAAATAACCACAGCTAGATATTATACATTTCTCAAAAATCAAGTCATTTCAGAATCTCTGTGTTTTTTAAGTTGGTTATCAAATAGTTTTATTTTTACACTATTACAGAAGTGCATTTCTCTGGGTTCCCCAAACCACCTTCCTCAACCTTGCCCATCTGTCACCATCTGCTTCTTTTTAGCATGTACTTTTTGTGTGATCACATAAGCATGTGAAAAATAACTAACATTCAGATGATTATCTGCTGGTACATTTGAGGACTGGGCACAATAAAAGTGAACTGCCAAAACGCACTTAACACTTTTAATTTTGTTGGGTCTTGCATGTAAGCTACATTTGATTTTCAAACTGTTTTACAGTTGGAAAGTTGAGCAGGTACTGCTAACTCAAGAGCAAAGCTGAGACTCCAAATAATTAGCACTGCATAAAATCATCTGGATTTAATAGGATCCAAACTAAATAATGAAATTTAAAAAATTATATGTGATTTCTATTTTCTTTTATAAATTATAGGTGTTTAAACCCAGCACAGACTACAAAAACAGAATCCTCTCAAGACATCTTATGGTCTATAATTTTCTAATGGATTGGTTTTATTTCCTTGGACTCCAACAAGAAAAATGAACTCATTCAAAGCTGTACATATCGATGACTTTCCAGAGATGCTGCACAATGCGATGTCTAGATCACAGTTTGTCAGAGCCTAATCTATATAATCTCCTCAAAGATTATCTTCCTATCAGAAAACTGCCACTAAAGGAATTATACTGTAAACGTGATTATTCATCAAAAGAGGTTAAGAGAAAATACTTATTTAGGTATTCATTTTTCAATTAATAGTATTTTATCTAGAAAATTACCTTTTCAGGTGTTATTTACCAAATAATAATAATAATCAGAGTCCATTCAAATATAAGCATTTCCCTAAATGTGCTGCAGGTCTGATATAAAGGGCATTTAATAAACTGGCGTTAGATGACTTCTCATATGATTTTTGAGGAATCTTTGGTGTTCACACCATCCAACTTTTTAAGTAGGAATCACTACAATCAGATAGAAATACCTGAAAAGAAGAGCGTGCAGGCTGCAAGGAAGGCTGCTGCATGCTGCCCACAGTCTGTACAGATAATGCTCAAAGAGCAGAAGTGAGAACACCAACGGGAATCTGAGTACTGGTAACTCTTAGAAACAAGTCTCTTTACATTCAGTTCTTGGTTTTGTCTTTCAGTTGATGTCTCCACAGAAAACAGTATTTTTGTTTTCTTAGAAGATCATCTGCTTCTCAAATGAGACATGTTTATCTTCTCCAGAATAATTTCTCCTAATTGTGACATAACTAATTTTGGTATTCTAAATCTGGGATGCCACATTCATCACAAATGTATAGCAAAAGCAACTGAACCAGAAAAACAAAGAATTTGTTTCTCTGACTTTCACAAAAACAAAAGTAGTACAGAAAATATGATCTTATAGTTGAATAAACAAAACATAATTTCTAAAATTTCATTTCTTTCACAAAAACAGAATTTTAAACTTTAGCCTCTATAACAGAGAAAATTACATGTTTGTTTGGCTAAACAACAATACTTGGAAATGTACTATATTTTAAGTATTAGCACTTATTTATAATTACTAGGTCTTTTGAAATGCTAATTGAACTCCTAGTTTAAAAAACTAATACTGTAAGGCAACATGCTAATAAATACATAATTTATTCTAATTTCTAATTTCTTTTGATTACCGTTTCCTGTCGGGCCATCATTCATATAATTGAAGATGAGAAGGTAGGCTTTGTGGTCTAGCAACCCTAATTAGAATCCTGTTCCTCCCGGGAAGCGCAGAAGAGTAATATGACCAAAATATATTATTTACATAGATGACACTCTCGAAGAATAAATACTTTTTTTTTTGTTTTTTAAAGAACCCTGAATTATTGTTTACCCCACAATACCCCCCTAGCTGGGTTCAGATTACTAAAATGAAAAATGAGTTTCACTACATTTCGCATGGTATTTAAATATCACAGGGACAGAGTGATGATTAATAACAGAAATCCTACTCATCAAAGAAAGATTCCTTCATCTTTAACATCAGCCACACTGTTTTTCCTGCACTCTAAGGGGGTGGGGCCATTGGTACAGCTCCCACCCCTTCTGACTGCCCTGTGTACTCCTTCCTCTTCCTCTGTGTTGGTTTCCTCCTTCTTAGTACTCATGTATCTGAGCAAACATCCCTTATGTAGCCATCGATCTGTGCAAGATTTTGTTACCCAAATGTATCTGCAGTAACTCCACCTCACATGCAATGGGTGGTATAATCTATGGATGTACTGTTTGAGTCTGTGAGTGTTTACAACAGCTTCAATGAATGACATATGACATATGACAAAAGTGATGCGGATCCTTTGAAAAAAGGGGAAAAAATGAGATGAAACACAAATGATCTTAGCAGCATTTTCCTTAACAGCCAAAATGGGTACAATGTGGGTGAAACTCAAAGACAATTTGCTAAGGGAAGAGCAAGACATAAAAGACGTCATGTCATGTAATTTTGTTTACATGAAATGTTGAAAAAGTTACATGGAGAACCTAGAGAGAAAGGATGAGAAACTAATGAGAAACTAATACACACACACACACACACACACACACACACACACACACACACACACACACACGGTTTCTGTCCTATAGAAGAAGTTCCTTGGGAGCAGTCATTTTCTATTTTTCTCCTACACTGGCACATCACACACACAAAATCCTCAAAACAGAGCAGAAACACAATAGATTCTTAAATAAACTAATGATCACCTCATAGATTGGGAGCCTCCTCCTCCTCCTTTCTTGTGAGCCACAAAATATAAGTGATTTTTTTCATTTTCCAAAAAAAAACCCAATTTCCAGTAGTTAAGCATGAACACCAACAAGTACTATAATCGCTGCTTCTTCATAAATTCCAAGATTGTTTAAAAAACTATAAAATGCTTATTGAATTATTCAATTATTCTATTTTCATAAGCAAAGTAAAATATAAAGAAATAAGACAAAATAAAATATTTAGCCAAGAAAAAATGATTTAATCTACTTTACTAAAACCACTACAAACTTTAACATATTAAAAACTTTATTACAAACCACAAAACTTAATTTCCACATCAGTAGCCTGAAAATACCTCATTAAATGAGTTAAAGGCAAAATAAATTCTGAATGAAATCTTGTTTTTTTTTTTTTTAAAGTAGGGAGTACTGCAATTTGAAAAAAAAATACTGTTTCCTCTTGAGAAACACTAGTGCTATTGTTCCTTTAAATGGAATTTAGGCCTACCTCTGGTGCCAGATATTCTGGGGTGCCACAGAATGTCTTCATGGTGGCTGCATCTGTGATTCCTTCTTTGCAAAGTCCAAAATCTGTAATTTTTATATGGCCATCTTTATCCAGCATCAAATTCTCCAACTGTGTAAAAACAGCATAAATCATTCTGTAAGTTTCAACATGAGAACAGTTTCAGAAAATGATTAATAAAGTACTAGAAAGAGACACGGGTATATTTAATGGAGTTGTCAGGCCTTGCAAGTCCTATAACTTCACATGTAAAATGAAGGATCTTTTATCAAACATTTGTTGTGAAAAAATTACTGACTTTAACACCAGTGGAAAAAGTAGCATAGCCTTAAGAACCATTTCTGATTAAGTTCTAATGATAAAAGACATCAGAATAAATCTCAGTAAGCAACATCAATACTTTGTACTGTAAAGTATTTACACAAACCCAAGTTTCATATCATCTACTGTCAGTTTTAATATTCCCTTGACAGCTAGCATGCTGTTTTTTGCTTACAGAAACATTCTTTTGATAGTTTGAGTTTTCTAAGAGAAGATAATTCCTTTTGTAGTTCTTACTAATGAAAAAAAAAACAACCCAACTCTTTTAAACATAAAAAGAAAAAGAATATCAAAGTGAAACATGTTATAAAGCTGGAGTCTCTGAACTCAACTTTAATTGATCGGTAACAAAGAGAACTGTAAAGATTTAACCTTTGGCAAAAATCATACATCTTAAGTTATGAGATGCTCAGGGAAGAAGAAATTTTGGCAAAGCCAACACAATTAAGAATACCAGTGTAGTTGACCCTCCTACTCAAACCTCAGCTATAGTATCATTACATGGAGATCTGTGTGGAACGAGATATGATCATACAGCTGCATACAGAATACAAAGTGTGAAAAGCACCTTAACAAGGTGCAGAATACTTAACTTTTATTTAAGGAGTAGATAACCTTACTATGACATTCAAAGTATTTTTCAGAACTCTGAAGTTAATGTGAAACAGAGAAGGCCACATATGAACATAGGTAGGTTAGATACAAGTCATACAAATATGAACACAACATCTGCAATATGGTCATGCTTTATATAATCAAAAATGTAAGTGAGCAAGTTATGTTCAAAGCAGAAACCACAGCCGACATATCTTTTTATATAGCACCTCAACAGATTACTTGATTGAACTGAATGTGCAATATATTCCAAACAAAATATACTTCTGAACAGTAACTGTTTCTTCAACTTACTTACAGAGCGATAAAAAGAATCTTAACTATACTATTAAACTATTTTCCAAAAATTAAGCTATTTTATCCAAATTCAGATACATTTGCTTGCATCCTTCTTTTATTTTTCTACCAACCTACAACCTAGAAATAAAGCCCAATTTGCATAAGTAATATTAAGTCCTGAGTATTAACTCCAACCAAAAACTCTCAAGAGTGTCTCTTCTTATCTTTTTCTCAGCTGTTGTTGGTCTTTCTTTTCTCTGTGCCTCTTCTAAACACATTCCTTATTCAGCCCCTCTAAACTTGCCACAGTTAAAACGAGGCACATGCTGAAGCTCAGTTGCCTTGCTGAATACAATCTACATTCCCTGATCTTATTTTAAAATGTGTTTTTTTAATTAATTAATTAGTTAATTTAAGATTTCTGTCTCCTCCCCGCCACTGCCTCCCATTTCCCTCCTCCTTCCCCAATCAAGTCCCCCTCCTTCGTCAGCATGAAGAGCAATCAGGGTTCCCTGCCCTGTGGGAAGTCCAAGGACCACCCACCTCCATCCAGGTCTAGTAAGGTGAGCATCCAAACTGCCTAGGCTCCCACAAAGCCAGTATGTGCAGTAGGATCAAAAACCCATTGCCATTGTTCTTGAGATCTCAGTAGTCCTCATTGTCCGCTATGTTCAGCGAGTCAGGTTTTAACCCAAACTTTTTCAGACCCAGGCCAGCTGGCCTTGGTGAGTTCCCAATAGAACATCCCCATTGTCTCAGTGTGTGGGTGCACCCCTCGCGGTCCTGAGTTCCTTGCTTGTGCTCTCTCTCCTTCTGATCCTGATTTGGACCTTGAAAACACTATCCTGAGTGAGGTAAGCCAGACCCAAAAAGAGGAACATGGAATGCACTCACTCATATTTGGTTTCTAGCCACAAAAAAAGGACATTGAGCCTATAATTCGTGATCCTAGAGAAGCTAAATAAGAAGGTGATCCCAAAGAAAAACATATAGGCATCCTCCTGAATATTAACCTTCATCAGGCGATGAAAGGAGACAGAGACAGAGACCCACAATGGAGCACCGGACAGAAATAAAATGTGTTTTTATAAATATTCATACTGGTCCTTATTTAACTAATGTGTTAAAGAATTTAAAATTCTTCTATAGTATTTCTAAAAATAGTAATAATTCTTATAAACATAATGTATAGTTTTTGTATAAGATCAAATAATAAATACTAATTAGAAAAAAGTGAATAACCCTTCTATCCTACTGCACACACACTATAATCTAGTTTGCATGCATTACACCAATCCTGCTCATATGATTTATATGTATCAGAAAGTATTCTTTTAATGATTTATTTATTCTTATTTTATGTGCACTGATGTTTTGCTTCCATGCATGTATGTATAAAGATGTCAGACCCCTGGAATTGGAATTAAGCTGCTATGTGGGTTCTGGGAATTAAACCCAGGTCCTCTAGAAGAGCAGCTAATGCTCTTAACCACTGAGCCATCTTGTCAGCCCCCAGAAATTTTGCTGCATGTGAAAAAACCTATTCTGAATGATTAGTTTTAAACAAAAGAAAAAAGAATCCAAAATAAATAAACTTGTCTTTTTTCCCCAAAATTTGGGTAAAATTTATTTTTAAAAAATCCTGGACTGCACCAAGATTTGTGGATTCATCTCTCAGCTAAGGAAAGAAATAATGACAAGTGATAGACAAGTACAGAACAATGGTGACCACTGTTCCCATTCTTGGTTCTCAGAACATCGAACTTTAAAATGCTCTAACTGAAAATTTTTGAGTAAATCAAGGCAGTTGGCTATCATTCCTTTTATATTACTGCATTAGCTTCTCCTCAAAAAGTATTACAATGATATACTAAGAAATGAGATAAGCTTAAGGATGATGGTAAGGAGTCAGAGTAAAGGTCACAGGAACACAGTAAATGGTGGGGGAAGACAGCAAAATGATTAGGGTATTGAGTGAAGTCTGGTGGTTCGCATTAAATTAGTGCTCTGCTCCTTTTCACTGATAATCTCTGACTCATTAATTTTTACATACCTAACTTTCATTTGCACACAGTACTCAATTACAGTACCTATTTGAAATGAGGGTTTTAAGCATACAATGAGATAAATAAAAAGAGTTAGAACTGTACGAATGTGACAATCATTTCTTAATGATGGAGAACTTAATGTCTATTCAATTGTGAAACAGTTTTTGTAAAAGATCAAATAATAAATACTCATTAGAAAAAAATAAATCTTCTATCCTACTATGCACCCATTACAATCTAGTTTGTATATATTACACCAATCTGCCTCAAAGGTGTGTTACATTTGTTTATGCTGCATTTGTTTAATTACATAAAGATGTGTTGCATCTGTTGACCTTGCCTGATTGGGCAACAAAGAGCTTACACCTGATTAGTCTAATAGCCGAATGGCCAATAGCTAGGCAGAAGAGGGAAAGGCAAAGCTGGCAGGCAAAGAGAATAAACAGGAGAAATCTAGGCTCAGGAGAAAAGAGAGAAATAGAAGGAGAAAATGAAATAGACGCCCACCTGGGGCCAGAAGTCACTCAGCTGCTAGTCAGCCAGACATGAGAAAACAAGATATACAGAAAGAAAGAAGGTTAAAAAAAAAAAAAAAGAAACAAAAGGTAGATAAAGTGAAACAGATTATTTTAAGTTAAAAGAGCTAGCTAAAAAAAAAAAAAAAGAAAAGAAAAGGAAAAAAAAGGTCTAAGCTGGGCAGAGTATTCAAAATGAGTCATGATTTGGGAGCTGGTTGGTGGTCCAAAAGACTGGTATACTTTTCTTAACAACAACAACAACAACAACAACAACAACAACAACAACACCACCAATGTTTTTGTTTGTTTGGGGTAAAAGTCTAGCTGTGTACCCAGAATGTCCTGGAATTCATGATGCAAATCCACGTGGCTTTAAGGGCAATGCTCCTGCCTCTGCTGCACAGTGCATACCACAATGCTGGGCCATTCAGAGGATGATTTTTAAGTTATCAAAATATCCTGAGAACTCCTGAACAATACTTTAATTAAAAAAAACAAAGTTCAAGGATGAAAACCTACAAAAATATTTCTACAGTTCAGTAAATTTGTTAAAGTACTTTCATTAGTTTTTAAATAAAATAAAATATAAACATCTATTTTTTAGTTATTTTACATGTCTACTTTTATTCATCAATTACTTGTTTTTCATCATTATCATATTTTATCATTCCTAAAATATCACATTATGAATAATAAAAAAACAATAATCACCAAAGAATAAACAGAAGTAATCACCTTAGAAAATACCCCATATTTTTTTAAAAAAAATCAAGTCTAATCTTATATCAAGATAAATTAGGAAGTAATATACAATCATTATATACTCAGTATTTTGCACGTGATTTACTAATGTTCTTATACAATATATAAAAAAATCATAAGTGAGGTGATTCATGAGCTTACAGCATCCACAAATTCACCTAAACATCTAAGATTCACTGCTTCAGAACTCTTAATGTCAATAATTTGCATATTAGATTAGTTAAAATCTAGTTCTACTGTGTAAATAAGAAACTAAACATTTGAAAATGCTCTCTCTTTGATTTTCTCTTCTAAATATCATGGTTTTCCTTTCTTCCTAATAAATGCAAAATTCATTATCGGTTATTGTTCAAGCACTCTCAATTTTTAAAATTTAAGACATCTGTTTTACTTCCACAATAAGCTTCCCAGATTAAGGACAGTATAGTAGCTTACCATTAATAGATGCACAGCTAGCAAAAGCAGGAATATTCCTACTGTTGTACTGGCTTTTTGGGAACCCAAGATCTTTGGATGGACACCTTGTTGATAGATATCTATACTAGGGAGGGCCTTGGACCTTCCTAAC